CTGCCGCAAAAAGACATCGCTCATTAATTTGTTCTTTTCTTCTATCCCCCTTTCTCCTCGTTCAGACCTCTCGACTCTCGTTTTTCATACTTTCCAGACACGTGGAGTTTAAGGCTTTGTATTTGCTTGCGCTTTCTCTCATTTTTTCCTCGTTACGCGCGCCACTAAAATTCGCTTGCCCGAATTCACGGTATTGTCGATGGGCTCGAGGGGTTTTGTATTCACTTTAACGACGCGCGAATTATTTTTCTCGTCGCCTTTATGCGCCTTCGCCCGTCCTTTTTGTCTTTTACTTCATGGTTGGTGACACGTAAAAATACGCGCCACTGGAGTATTTATAAGAGAAACGGAAATGTTTTCGTGGCATAGTAAGTTCACAGATACACTAAACTAAAAGGAAAGCATTTCGCTTTAATTACTCGGCTTTTTATCTGAATTTCAAAATTATATGTAAAATGAAAAACGAACAAATGCGAATATTTTCGAGGAAAAGATAACGCGAAAACAGGATGTTAGCGAACATCTCTACGGATGTGCATTGATCGGCATGATTAGTCGGTGAAAAAAATAACATAGCCAAAAGCTTATCGTGAAAGAAAAAATGAAGATGAATTTGGAGCCCATATAACTCTAAAAATAACATCGATATCGTAAAAACATCGCGTCAGCAGCGTGAAAAAAAAATTAAAAAAAAAAGTCAGGCGCGCCCCAGTGAAATTAGAGCGCGAAATAGTGTTGAAAAATGAAGGAATAAGTCATCGAGAGGGGATCAGAAGAGTGAACTGCAGTATGTAGCGCTTCTGAGATTATCTAGGAGGTCGGGAGATCGGATTAACCAGGGTCATTTTGTATTCGTTAAGGGTAATTCACACAAGCCTTATGAAACGAGGCTCGCGGCGCTTAGTAAATTTTAATGCCGTCGCTCTCGCGCAGCGGCTTAGTTTCGCCGTTTAATTGCTTTATCAGCGCCAAGAGTCGCGAAAATAAAAAGGAATTCGCGCGGGATTGGAAATAATGATGGAACGATCTTTCGACGCTGATTTCAAGCCGGGCAAAGTCGCTTCGGCGAGTCAATCTAATTAAACGAAAAAGTTCATGAAATCCGTGGCGCGCAGATCATCAGTCATGCTTAGTCCGTAAGTTCAAAGACTGCAGCCAAGATGGAAGAAAAAGGAAGAGTCATATAAGACGGGAATGCGAGATGCAACGGGTTTCTTTTCCCTGCGCGCGCTCATATCATATACGACGACGATGCCATGTCAAATGAAGTTCTCACGTGAGATGATTCAGTTTGTCGATAAAACGACGAATCGACTTTTTCGTTGAGACTTCTTGCGTGCGACGCGCGCGATTACAGAAGGAGGTTACTGCGGGTTGTCTCGCTGCTTATGTGTGACTCGACGCGTGATGTATGTATCCCGGATAAGTGCCTTGTTGAAAATGAATTGCAAGCTCTCTAATATGTGGTACAATGAAGGAAGGCGAAGCATTCGAGGCTCACCAGGGAATTCGCTTTATAATGTGGGAGGCGGAAGATCGATTGGCACTACGATTTTAGTCCTCTCTAATATGCCTTGAGAGTGAATGTTCAGGCAATTCTATTTCAAGCATTCGTCCGGCAAACTCTTCAACTTCAGTTGCAACGCGATGCTTTTTCGTCACTTGCACTCGAGTGAGACTAAAAGTCTAGTATTAATGAAAAGACCTTAGGGGAGCACTCGAAGCCAAATGTAAAACCCTGCCCGGTTCTTCAATCTTTTTCAATGCTATTTACTAGGGAGATGGGACGAGCAAAAAATTCGAACGAGAAAGAGAGAGAGAGAGCGTCAACAAGAAAAGCCTTTTAAATCATTCCGTTTTCCAACCATATGAGCTTCCTCTTTATCTTTCTGTCTCTCTTTTTCTCTTTCTCTGTCCTGTAGGACTGTTACCGATAACGCGAGTCGGGTATTCAGGAACACACGCGGAAGTCTTATTATATCGACACGAGCACACCAGGAAGCTTTTTTCTCTGATCGTTATGAATATTTAACAGCGACGCGCTCTCCGCTCGTACTTTTTGTACGGGACTGTTTGGATTCTTGGCACAGGAGACGAATAATAATTTCATAGATTTCCCACAATCGCCAATTTCCTTTTCACTAGTTTCAAACGCCTGTTTTACAATTTTAATTTAAATCTGCTTTACATTCCTTAATTGACGTGAAACTTCCAAATCAAATAATATTTACGAAATAGCTGTTCGAGCTTGATTTGTACAAAAAAGAAGCTTCTCTCTTACGATTATATACACGGCCTAAAGAAAATCTATTTTCCCTTTCTTACGTACGCTCAGCCTTAGATTACACACCCAAACATCAGTCTTAGACGCGACGCGTTATCTCGGAACGTGGATGAACTGGTGAATCCGCGTTACTCGTTTACGTGAAATGAACTACGATTCCGCGCCCTTGTCATTGTCGAGAGCTCCGAGGGAAGGGCGAAATATACAAAAGTAAATTGCGCGTAAATTTCACTGGAGAAGAAGGGATCCTCTTGATATTTCAAAAGTCGCCAATTCCAATGTAAACGGAACGCAGGAAAAGTTGCCGCTCTTATCGAACTGCCTCTCTGCTCTTCTTTCCTTTTATCCCCGCGCTCATCCCCATCTAGTTGAAAAGCAATCGAGTGCGTGCTCTCGCACACGTATCGAATGCATTGAGGTCCATTAATGCTTTCTTTGCAACTGTAGCGTATGCCGATCGCAGTTTTCTGACGTCGGCCTCAACGCGGGCGCGTTACTCGAACATGCATGACTACTTCGAGATGAAATATATCGTCTACGTGAATAATTAATCTGTTCGTCAGATGCGGAGATAAAAAATAGCACACTGCGTTAAACATTTTTCATTCGCTGATATTGGCGAAAATGAATCATCGGGAAGGTTATTAACCAATCGAAGGTAGATCAGAAAGTCCGCCGCTGATGCGTCGTGCGTAAACGTTGAAGATCGCGAGATCCGCGTTTGCTCGCATGCCGCGACCTAATTGAATTTCCGTGCTGGTGATAAGAAGGGAGAGAAGAGGCAAAAAAATCGAGGCAAATCATAATGAAACGAATGACCGGCGGAGAAGAAGAAAAAGTGGCGGTCGTCGCGGCACACTGCGGAACTTATAAATCCGTCCGGGTTGGCGTTGGCGGACAGCCAAGGAAGCGAGCTCGGAGCGTTTACCCAAGGCCAAGTAGAACAGAAGCAGATAGTCGGACGTGCGCGAAGCAAGCAAGCAAGCGAGAGCCTTTGTTTTGCTTCCATTGTTCCTTCTCGCTCTCTTTTTCAATTGAATTTTTGATGGAGTTCGCTCTTGACGCAACGCTCGAGCTATTATTTATCAGCGCTGCCCTCCCCGTCTTCTTCCTGCTATCGTCCCGTTGACCTTTACTTGACGTACTAGTCGCGACGACGCTGTAATTGTTTGACCCTGCGATTAAGACCTTTGTGCACGTACGACGCGAGCTCGGTTATCGAAAGTCGACTTGCTTGGTACTCAGGGCGTGCGTTAATTGATCTCTTTAACAAAGCGCAACGTTGCGCTCAAATTAACGGGTCGGCTATTCGCAAATCGAGCCAATCGTGAATCAGCTGAAGAGTCTCCCTTGGCAGGGTATTCCAAACGAAATACCGGCACCAGTCGAATTATTCTAGCGCTGTCGTAGTCGATTATGCATCCGTTAAAATCGTTGAACGTGGTCGCGTCAAGTACGTCGGGTGCAGTGTAGCGACGAGCTTTTGTGCGCCTCATCAGCCAGTGAGAGCAGAGCCTTGCGAGCAGGATGACAGGCAGAGGAGTATACTCGAAAACTGGCGAAGGAATCCACGTCGCCGCCCAATTTAGCGGGTATTCAAATGCCATCCTCAGCGTTTTGCTTCGCCCATTAATTTCGCCAGAGCCGGCTGTGATAGTTGCTTCTCTATTCGCGCGGCGTCGCGACTTTCCGTTCGATAATGCTTCGCGACGCGCTCGATCAACGCACAATTCATTTCCGCCGATTGATCGATGCGCTTTAATTGACCACTCGGCGACGACGTGCCGTGTAATGCATCGACGGACGTGTAAAGGTCATCACCTCGTTTCGGTGCGCGCACGTGCAAACGACTTGTGCTCCGTGTGCGCGCGTGCGGATGAATAATGCCACCAGCGAGAATGGATGCTGAGTGAAGAGCGCGTGGGAAACAACATTCATTGCAGCACGTTCAAAGTGGCGAAGAAGCATATTCGCCGGGGGAAAGCTAATCTTGAGCACGGCGAAAGGCGTCGAGTACCAGGCAATCATATTGCGAATCTAAAGTGCGACCTATTCGGCAACCCGAAACCGTATGCCACTTGATCTTTTTTATCCTTTAGAAGTGATTTTTTCTTTTTTCGTTCACCGTTAACTCATTTGCGAATTATCGGAAACTTGTCGGGAGGCAAACGCGAAATTTCAGCTAAATGCCCGTCATAAATCGTATAAAAAATCGAAGATGAACTGCGCGCGGAGTGAAATCGTGTCGCCGATTATTCCGCAGCATGGATCACCGAATAACGCAACGAGCTGTTTCCCGGACGCAAGTACCCGGCGCGAAATTGAGACTCGGCCCGCGGGGTCCCTCGCGCTTTTGCAGCGCAGGAGTAATTTATGCGCGGAAAGTTGACGCGCATTCTCTAGTTTTAAAACTCGCATCCCGAGGCGCGCGCATTTTAATGGAATCACGGCTACGCGCGCACTCTCTCCCCCCATTAACGCTGCTAACATTTTGTAATCGTTTTATACGCGTCGTTTCATTCGGAGCCTCGACATCGCGTGGCGCCGGGGTTGAAACGTCCCGCAGGCAGCGAGCGAAAAACACTAGCGGACACGATGAAAATTGAAAACCGAAGCGCGCCACGGGAGGGGTTCGGCAGTGCAACTTTGGCACTGCCAGAGATTCGATTCGGTCGTCTTCGTGTTAATCTGTTCGCGAGAGAGAGAGAGAGAGAGA